TCTGGTATTGGATCCCTTACAGTTAACTTGTCGACCACTATCTACAAAGTTTAGTTGTCTGTCTCAAATCATATCTAAAGGACTCCACCCAGATTCTTAACCTGCTTTCTGATTTTAAATGGGAGGAAAATATGTTTTGAGTCACAGCTGATGTCACGTCGTTCTATACCGTCATCGAACACCTGCAAGGCTGTGAAGCCATCCAATACTCTTTGGCAGTATACTCTGAATTGAAGAATTATCAAATAGATTTTTTAGTACAATGCATAGCCTTCATTTTAAATCATAACTATTTTTTGGCCGAAGGCAACTTTTATCTGCAGACAGAAGGTAGCGCCATGGGGACATGTTTTGCGCCAAGTTATGCCAATCTTTTTATGGGTAAGTGGGAAGATGAGTTTATATGGGACCACTGCCCATTTGGCGCAAAACTGTTCCTATGGCGGAAATATATCGATGATTTTTTTTTATGTGGAAAGGTGACCCAGAATCTCTAGAGGAATTCAAAATCTATTTGAACAACAATCCGTATCACCTCAACTTCACCTTTGCACAATCCAAGGAACAAATTGAGTTCCTAGATCTCAACATATACGTAGAAGAAAATGAATTGTACACAAAGACCTTCAAAAATAATGTGGACTGCAATAGCTTCATCCCTTATAAAAGTCATCATAGACCTATATGGTTAAAGAACATCCCTCAAAATCAATTTAGAAGAATTAGACGGAATTGTTCGAAATCTGACACTTGCAGAGAACAGATGGAAGAGATGAAGAAGAGATTTATCATGAAAGCATATCCTGCAGCACTTTTGGGAGAGGCTTTGGAGAAAACCCTCACTATACCATGAGAAGACACTCTATGTAATAGAATCAAGCTATACAGCCATCTAACAACACTCCAGCTTTTATTACAAAATATAGTATTCAGTCACAGACGATACAAAAAATACTTAGGAAAAACTGGGGAATATTGAGAAGTGATCCAACTCTAACACAATTCATTGAGGAAAAACCACAGATTATCTTTACAAGGGCACCTAAGCTCAATCTAATGCTAGCTCCTACTATTAGATCTGAGAACACTACAGGAGAACAAGGAAACGTGAGAGGTTTCTCGAGATGTCAAAAATGTATTGGATGTAGGAACAACCCCATGGCAGAAATAACAAGCACCAAATTTATATCGTCCAACGATTTAAAAGAATATAAGATTAGGACAAATATGAATTGCAATACTTTAGGAGTGATATATCCTATCACATGCCCATGCCAGAAACAATATGTTGGACGGACTAAAAGATCTTTGAAAACTAGGATTGCAGAACACATTAGAAACATTAAAAAAGGCTTATTGACTCATAATCCATCGAAACATTTCAAAGAGACACATAGAGCAGATCCAGAAGGACTGACTTTTGTAGCCATAGAAAAAGTGAATGTGCATTGGAGGGGAGGAAGTATAGATACTAATCTCGATCAATCTGAGGCAAAATGGATATTTTCTCTTAATACCATAGTCCCCCATGGCCTCAATGTAGATTTCGAGTTAAATGCATTTTTATAGCACTTCTTTTAGTTGAATCTTCTTTTGTCCTTACAGTTGTAGTTCTTTTCTTGATTATATAGAATTTTATGGTGCTTTTAAGTAAATAGGTGTATTTGTCTGTTACTATTATTCTTATCCTGGTATGGATTCTTATCGTCATATAGGTGTTATCAAGTGATATTTGTTCTTAACTACTTCCCATATCTTAGTATGTATTTCATTATATATATATATATACATATATATATATATATATATATATTTACTTTAAGCATATGGAGTTGTTTTATTCTTATTAAGTCTTCCTACTATCTCCTATTTTAATTAGTGTACTCAAATCTTATTTATTTATTTCATAGAAATCTTATTAACTTATTTCATACAATTTATATTTATATTTATTTATTTCTCTAAGCGATCAACTGGGTATAAATCCCTTGGTTTACATAACAGATATTTTTTATGAATACAGATAAGGGAATTGCTGGTCATTATGCACAAGACCTGTACCGTTGTTTAAATTCCACATACAGATGCTGAAGGAACTAAGTGTTTTTTTTTATTATGTTCTAATGTGTTGTATTATTTACCAACATTCTTGTCTTATTACAGAAAATGGAACACAGCTAGTGTATCTCTCGCGTATTGCATCCTATCTATTCTAATAAGGAATTAAAGACGTGTAGAATACTAATTATTTGGAAAGTAGTACTACTTGCATTTTATCAGGTGGTGAATTAAGCCTGAGGAGATATGTATATAAATTGTTACATCGTATTGTTAACAGATCGTGCAAAGTTAAGATGCAACATTGATGCAATGTCTAACCATCAATCTCGAACTGTTTATAATTTGATATGATGGTTGTTAGGAGGAAAGCTATTATTTTAGGTGCATAACTGTCTGTGTATGAAAGAACAGCAGTCCTACTGAAATTAAGACAAGTAATGGGTATTTTATAAAAGTATTTTATTATAGTAAAGCTTTTTATTAACTTTTATTGTATCCATTTTTTTTAAAGGTTTCTATTATATTAAATTGTACTGTATTAATCAATTCTCTGCATTTACTTTCTGGTGTTTAACATTTTTTATACAATGTAATGTAATTTATTCTGTATGGACTTTAATTAATTAATTAACAACTGAGGGATATATCAGCAGTCTCATATGGAGGTTAACACATACGTCTCTGAGGAAGTAGGGCTATTCCCTACAAAACGCGTCAGACAGTTCACAGAACGTCCACACAGTGACAGCCAGCCAAGGTATTATCACCTATATCATCTCGGATCCCAGGCACTCCACTAATATCATCCGACGAGCAGCGCAGTTCCCCCGAAGTGAGGCTCGAGGTGGAACGCAAGCCGTCCTCACCGGCGATCAGAATTTGGATATTGAATTGTGAAGGACATCCATATCCATCCGTGCCTGGAAATAAGGTTGTTGTGTATTTTTTACCTTTAATAAACTAGTATTTTTACTGTGGACTTATTTTTAACTTTATTTTACTATTCTGAAATAAATTTGACTTTTATATTCTCAGTTGTTATTTAGCGATATTTTTCATATTGCTTACAGCAACCAGCTCTTGGTACTGGTTTTGCTTAGTTATCATTAATATCTGACTTGCAGGACAGTAGTCAGTGTGACTTTCCCACACTATGCACCCAAGTCAAAGTGCTCTGTTTGGTTGGCTTTTAGCCACTGGTAGAGGCAAAGGGAGGTACCTGTACCAGATCCCCCTGTACTTTACTTGCGAGTTGCTAGTCTTTTATTACAGCAAACAGCTACTGGCTGCTTGCTGTATAACAGACATGCTCCCACTGTGTATCAATGGAGATAAACAGTAAAAATTACTTGTGCTACCTTCCCCTTCCCTACTCTAATTTAAAGCAGTAATTTTAATTTTTTTAAGCTAAGATAAAGGAAAATTAAGTGCACATTGCAATATCCCATATTTCTGTTCCAGCTATGGGAGTGCTGTTATAGGGTAGGGACTATTCTAAACTTAAAGTAGAATAGCCCATAGCGTGTGTCCATACCAGAAATAAGACACATCATGTTGTCACTTGTTTTAGTCCACACATTGTCATCAACAGACTATTGTCACTACCCCTGGTTCACATTACCTTTCCCTCCAGGCCAAATTTCACCAAGGTTTTTCCCCACTTCCCATACAGCCACAAGAGCACATTTTGGAGGGAAGGTGCATCAGCCTATGTGCCACAATCACTCCTTGGGAAGCAAGGGGAGTGCCCTTATTTCATCCACAGGTGCTCCTGACATTTGACCGGCCACAGCCCTAATTGTTCTGGAACTCTTTTGGGCAATAATTACCCTGGTGACATTTTGTCATTTCTTTATGGATCCGGGTGCTATTTTGCAGACATGAACGTTCGAATCCTAGAATATATAATGTGTGGGGGTTCTTGTATGTTTTATCATGGAGATAATTAGTTTAGCAAGCATTAACTATATTTTATAACATGACAGGAGGCTTCGTATTTGCTTTAGTATCTCTTTACTAGAACTCCACAGCAGCACAGAAAAACAACCAATCAGAAAAAAGTTAGGTACTTTAAAACTCCCCTCCCCATACATCATATCCTCCGCAGTCAGTACAGGTCAGAGTACCACTACCTCCTGCTCTTAGTGGGGGGCTTTAGGTTTTATTATAATTTATTTATGATTTATGTGGATTATATTTTGTTATCATATTATATGTTTTGTATATATTTAAATATTTATATATTATATATATATTGTTTAGTTATATATTATAGAGGTTATTTGGATGTGTATATTATTTAGTTTTATATTATATATATTACTTTATTATATATTATATTTAGTTTGGGGTTTTCTGCACCCTACTCCTCTTTACACCCCCTGTTGCTCTGGGGATGTTTGCCTTTCAGGGTGGGGGTTTTATGTTTTTTTTTCCTTGGGAGATCCTCAGTCTGCTCCCCCTTTGTTACTTTAACCGTTGTATTTAACCCGCTCTCCTCCCTGCCCACTTTCTAGCAACGCCGGTCTACAGGCACTCCGCTCGGGGTTTCAGGAGACTAGCCGTTTCGCTGCCTCCTCTGATTCCCCGAGCTCCAGTGTGAGCCTGCCGGCGCCCGGGATTTCTCGCTTGCATATGCGAGTACCCGGTGGCCGGATCCGCTCACACACGTGGCTGCTTCGCTGTGGCAGGCTTCTCTCAGACTCACGTGCATCCGAGCGACGGGGGGAGGGTGCACCCACTCACGATCTTTCCCCCCCCACAGTGATCGGACATCGAGGGCTTTTTCTCTGGTGCTGCACATGGCTCAAGCATGGGCTGTTCAGACTGTTTCTAGCTACATATAGGCTAGAAATTTTATTGATTCGGAATGTCCAATGTAGCTGTAAAATTTACTTTTCCAAAGTGCTATGTTAAGAACATAGCAATGTGATGCTGGTGGCCATTAATGAAAATGATTCTGCCATATGAGTAAAACTGATTATACTCCAACCGTTCCACTCCTTTCTGAGGTACCCAGCCTAAATATAACTTCACTTAAAGGAGCTGTGATTTCAAGCTACCCTTTTGTATTTGGCGGAAGAGGTTAATACAAGTCTTGTTTTGCAGAGTCCAGTTGGAGTTAAATTAAACTAGGTTTAGTGAATGTTTTTGTGTTGCATTTTTATCTTGTGTCTCTATGTCCCAATCCCTGTGCTTCTATATGTATATATGTTCCTGGTTCATCTCTGGAGGCAGAGATGAACCCTCCTTTTTAATGTGAGGTTTCACTGTCTATGGCAGATATATAAAAATCTATACAGACCTGGCTCCGGCTCAAACTGGTATGGGAGACCAGTCTTTACGGACATTAATTCTATTTTATTAGGCTTCTCTGATTAGTAGAGTGTGAAGGTTGTCCCTTCCAAGCTCAATGAGGGACACTGAGTGGGCTATTGTTTAACCCTTTTACTGGAAGATGCCATGGGTACAGTACCCTTCAGGTGGTTTACTGACGTGCATATATTGATGAGGAAACCCCATACAGATCTATAGATCCAGGAGCAAACCAGTTCTCAGTTCTAATGGAATCGCTCAGTATATCATGAGTTAATGGGCACTATAATCACTGAAACCTTTTCAGCCTATACCCATTACAGCTGGAATACCACTATATTGCCTGCTGGGCATTTAGGGACTGCTAGTCCCAGTTTACGTTTATTCGCACAGTATTACACTGTCTAAAAGGGGTTGGTGGCTAAGGTTCTATATCACAGGGTACCCTATAGATTTACATATATTAGGGGTCTCTACCAAACACAGAGGTCCCCATTACTCATTTATACGCAACCCAGGATGAGCCCGCTATGTCTATGCCCCATTGATTGGCCTGCTATGTCTGTGCCCCATTGATTGGCCTTCTATGACATTGCCCCATTGATTGGCCTGCTATGTCTGTGCCCTTCTATATGGCCTGCTCTACCTGTGCCCATCGTAGGTATTGGTAATTAGTCCTACGTCAGGTTTAGCCCCTGATCCCGTCAGTTGGGTTTACTTGTCTTGCTGTCCGATCTGTTATTTACATTCTCTCCATGGTATGTATTTACCGTTATCTACATTATTTGTCGTTTCATGGTTTGGAGACTTTCTATTATCCTATCGCTCGGCTCGAGAGGCCTGACTTGACCTCCTCCGACCTTTCAAGCTCTCATGGATTGCGGAGAACTTCTCCAGCTTTCCTCAGACTACCGGCAGTCACCCTGGATCCAACACACACGCACGGGATCCGGGCGGTCCGTTGGTAGTGTTCCGTCATTGTTTCCGAAACTTACATTTTCTCATCATCCCTTCTGTTATTAAGGATGGCCCGAGGTTGTATAATATTCCATCTACCATCAGTCTGGTTCATTACCAGTTAATTCCATCCCTCAGGGAAGCGATTTAGAGAGTGGTATCGTGGTCACAGAGAGACCCACCTCAGGATCGCAGTCTTATGCGGATATTAGTAAATGGTGTACCCCTGCGGTTGGTCACTCTGAGTCTCTAAAGAACTCTAATTTGGATTACAAGAGGGTGCAGCCCTTCATCGTCCCGACCCGAGACTGGTATTTTTATTTTAACGAACAGAGAGCGAACCCCTCTCCAGAGGCAGCTCTAGACTTTATGAGGCCTTAGGTGAAACTCAAACATGAGGCCCCACTAACAAAAAAGTGTCACATATACACATTGATGCATAGTTTACCTGTGTATGTGCCTGAGAGTGTGTCTGATAGAGAGTATCCTTGTGTGAAAATGTATGTCTCTGTGAGCATGTCTGTGTTTTTGTCTGAGACCCTATGTGTATGGGGTAGCTGCTTGAAGTGTATTGTGTGTATGGGGGGTGATGGTGAGAGGGAGAGGTGGGTGATGGTGAGAGGGGGTGATGGTGACAGGGAGGTGATGGTGTGGAGGGTGATGTGAGAGGGGTGATGGTGAGAGGGAGAGGGAGGTGATGGTGAGAGGGAGAGGGGGTGATGGTAATGTGAGAGTGAGAAGGGGTAATGTGGGGGATGGGGGTAATGTGAGAAGGAGGGGTGATGTGAGAAGGAGGGGGGTGATGTGAGAAGCAGGAGGTTGATGTTGAGGGTGAGGAGGGGCTTAATGGTGAGGGTGGGAAGCTGAAGGTTGTGAGGGGTGATGCTGAGGGTGGTGAAGCTGAGGGTGGTGAGGGGTGAGACTGATGATGGTGGGGGTGATGCTGAGGGTGGTGGGGTGGGGTGGTGAGGCTGAGGGTGGTGGGGGTGATGCTGAGGTGGTGGGGGTGGTGAGGCTGAAGGTGAAGGGGGTGGTGAGGCTGAGGGTGAAGGGGGTGAGGCTGAGGGTGGTGGGGGGTGGTGAGGCTGAGTGTGGTGGGGGGTGGTGAAGCTGAGGGTGAAGGTTAAGAGAGAACCTACCTTTTCTTCCCTGGTGGTCCGGTGGCCATTGCTTCTGATCTGCAGCTCCGCAGAGCTGCAGACCATGGAATCTCGCGAGACCATCAGAGCGTTGCCGTGGTAACCCGCGGCAACGCTCTGATTGACCAATTCTCGTGAGACACATGGTCTGCAGCTCTGCAGACCAGTGTCTGCGGTGGCTGGCCGGGCAGCCGGGCCCCCTCCTGGTGTCGGGTCCTCGGTCACTGACCAAGGACCTGACAGTCTGCCCACAGGCGGTTTAGGCGGCCACGAGGCCCCAGTCAGCACGAAGCCTTAGGTGACCGCCTAATTAGAGTGCCGCCTCTGCCCCTCTCATATACTGTACTGGACACTGATTAATTATTAGAGGGAGCGACCCTCCTTCAACCTCAGCCCCACACTGAGATGGATACAGAGGACATGTTTTGAGTGGCACATCCTCATAGAGGGAACCGGACATGGAGGTAAACTCTAGGGTTGTTTATTAATGGGTGCAGCCCACTCAAACTATCTGCCAGACGCTGACACAAAGTTCAGTCACATTATTAGAGAGTGCGACACTCTCATACTTTCAACGTACTACGGTGCCATCTATTTATTAATCACACGGGCTTGTACTTGTACGGGGCAATGAGGATTGCCTTGAGAGGCGTACCTTTTACATTCAATAAAATCGAACAACCGTGCTACCGATTTTCATTATACTGGGCTGTGTGACAAACTGCCATTTGCCACTGGGCATTGGAGAGGGCTGATTGCCAGCCTCCTGCCATGTGACTATGGCCCCTGGGATGTATTGCCCTTTAAGGAACTGATTTGGGCATAATGGAGTTTTATTGTGCTGCTGATGTCCCTTTAAGAAAGGATTGTACTTTTAAACTGGCACTTCAGATGCAGTCGAAGTGCCGAAGTAGTCGCCATTGGAAAACCGAACACATAGCGGCAGCCATTTTAAGTTAGTCGGACGCGGTCAGCGGTGTGTGCTCCTGAATCTATGGAACTGAAATCTGCTACACATTTCCGCGAACACCGCTAAACCCGTACGTTCTCCCTCCACTTCGACACTGCGGCCAGAGGCTAAGTCCCATTCGAAGATTCGAACGCACATTTGAATGGGACTTAGTCATTTTTTAGAGTGAAATTGACCGACTGCACAGCCCAAATCTATGAAACTGTTTTGGGCAGGAAAATGTACTTGCGGTCAGTCAAGAAAAGGACTTCCAACTAACTTTTGATATACTGGATGGATTTTTATGATTTTTGAGTATATTTATATTTAAAGGACACTGATTTTAAATATGTAACTTTTATTAATATTGCATGTATACTTTTAAAGTTATTAATGTTGTGTAAAAACTGTATACCGTATATACTCGAGTATAAGTCAACCCGAATATAAGTCGAGACCCCTAATTTTACCCCCCAAAAATGACTTTTTTTCATTGTTTAATTCATATGTTATCGTTTAGTCTGCTCAGAAAATATCTCACAACATTAACATATTATTTTTCTAGATTGTCCAAAGTTTCATGTTTTGTCAGGCAATGGACCAAATTAGTACTGAAATTTATTATGTTTTCTGCAAAGAAAGTGCAGTTGCAATATGCATCATTTTCAGTGAAATTAAACCATAATTACATTTTGACATTTGAACAAATGTTTTAACCATTGGTGCCAGAACTTCACAGATTATTATTGTATGTATATGAGAACTTGACAAGTGTCTCACTAAAGAAGTTTGCCAAGTCTTCCCCTTGAGAATAGAATGTGCATAACTAGGATACAATTAAATTATTTTATCATTGTGGTAAGCATTCTTAAGCACCCCTAGTTAAAGTTCTCACATTCACTATTCCTTTGTGGCCTTTGTGGCTACACCTTGGCATGGTAGTTATAAGGAAATATATTCTCCTCTTCTTATAGGTTAGTTTCGATGAGGTTGTGCTGCAGTATATTATTAAATAATAAATGCTCCAAAAGATAATAGAAACATTGACCACCAGGCCAACATAATTCCACCTAGATAAAAATATATATGCTATATAGTCCCATAATGTTTATATTTTTTGTACGCATGCAATCCCATAATAAAACAAGGGCGTTTGTGCTCTCCATGATCCAACTGACTTGCATTACCTAATGGCTTGAAGCCATTTGGATGAATGACTTGGAGTAAAGCATTTTACTTGGCAATTGTGCTGATGATTGTTGTATTCTGGTTCATATGCTGTAATTATATACCATACAGAAGTGATCTCCAATATATGTAATAACTTTAGGTTTAAAGTTGGATGTAGCAGAAGCTTCTTATTCCAATGCATTATCCCAATATTATGAAGTTTCAGTATACATGCTGTACATTCTGAAATGTATGATCTGATGTGATTTTCCTTTCAATATTTGTAGGCAACAATCTATTTTCTTATAGTTACTGTTGGAGTTCCGGGAGAAATTATTAGGCATGCACATTATTTACTCAAATACATATTGTCACAGTAATATCTGTATACATTTATAAAAAAAAGGGAGTCCCAAAAGCTTGCCATTACAAAATTCCGTAAGTTCAATAAAAAAGGGATTACAAGATACAAATGTTATCTGTT